CTTGTCCTGCAAGGGCCCCACATTTCCTGGGGCCTTCTTTCTACTCCCTATGTATTTAAAAAAGGACTTCTTGTTGTCCTTAATCCGGGAAGCCATCCCCTGTTCCATCTCTGCCTTGGCCTTCCTAACCATCCCCCTACATCCCCGAGCAACTGCAGAATAGTCCTCCTTAGTGATGACCCCTCCTTTCCATTGGGAGTAAGCCTCCTTTTTGGCAAGGAGACATTCCCGGATGTTTTTAGTGAGCCATGGAGGCTTATATGCTCTCCGTAATTCATAACTCTAAGAACAGTTGCCCACAATCGTGCCCTAGTTGGGTATTTTGTTTAAAAATGGGCAAATCTTGGATTAGGCCCAAGGAATAGATCCCTGTTCCTCTCTCACTTTCCACTCTACCAGGCCCTTACAGCTCTCTCTCAGCTTCAGCCCAGTCTTTCCCTTCTACCCTCTGCTGTTTTCCTCTCTTGCCCTTGACTTTCCATCCCTTCTCCTATGCCAGAGGTAACCAACCCCAGGGCCAGTTCCGGATTTCCGGTCCAGCAGCCAACCCTCCTGCGGACCGGCAGCCCACCCTTTTATCCAAGCACTTTTTATACTGAGTATAAAAAAGGGCGGGCTGCCGGTCACTTCCATGCTGCAGTATGCTGGTCCACAGTTTGCCGGTCCGCAGTCTAAAAAGGTTGGGAACCACTGTCCTATGCCTCATCTCCCACTCCCATTCCCTTCCTCCCTGTGCCTTCCATCCGCCACCCCCAAGAGTCTGTAAAATGTTTAAAGTTTCTCTGCTGTTTCCAGTCCCCTCAGCTGGGCTGACAGGATGCAAAAATCATTGAGGGGGCCTTCTGCCAGCTGAAGCCATTGCTACTCCTAGTCCTTCCTTTAGTAAACTTGACTTAGCAGGGCAGAGCAGTCAGCAGTGGTAATCATGACAAGGACCTTGTATGAGATTCACATGCAAATGTGGGGAGGAAAGGAAGAAAAGCACAATTCTAGAAGTCTACCAGTACATGTCAGGAGATGGAAAGCAGTACAGTTGGTCCTGTGTGTTCAGTGTGTCGCCAAAGTCCTCTCTCTCAAGGTTGTGGTGACAGGCTGCTGAAACAATGACAAAAGCACAGAGCAAGAACCGGTGAAGGGGAATTTCCCAAGAGAGAATTTGAAAAGCACCATCAGATATGCTGTTTGTAGTGCAAGTCTCTGGAAGATTGGACAAAGAAGGAGAACAAAAAGGTGTTAATTCAGAGGCATAAGGGATATTGCTATTTGTTTGCCTTTCTCCGCAGTTCTCCCCAATAAATCAGCTCTTTAAAGCATTATATTCTTCTGAATGACATCAAGAGACTAGACTGCAACCAAAAAAACAAAACAAATATGTCACAATACAACATGCAATACAAGAGGCAGATCCACAAGGGACAAATATTTACCACTGCTCTGCATGGCTCCTACACCAGGCTGCATTCTTCTTGGCAAGCTGGAGTGGGACAAATGTTCTCGGAAAAATACATAGCATTCTGCCCTCACAAGCTACTGACACACACTCCAGGCCACTGAACCCTGGGCTCTCAGTGCTTCTCGGAGAGCACGAGGCCTATGCTGGGGAAGGCTAAACATAGAGTTGGGTTCTCAAGTGTCCCGACAGGACAAAGAGCTTCAGTGTGATATAATTGTTATTAATAAACTGGAAGCATATGAAGCCTCAAGATGCATGGAAACCTATAATAAGGAGCACTCTAGTAGACCTTCCCCTGAGTTAACCAACCACCTCTGAAGGGCACATGTCAATTTACGCAACCATTTTGTTAACCTACAGGTAAACGCCACGTCTACTTGCTGTTCTCAAGCCAGGTTTGCTACTGCATGTAAAAGGAGACCATTGTATGCTACCTCCATTCTTTTCTGAGTGAACCTGTGCAGGTATTACTGGCATCCATTACGGGTAATATAACTATGCATTAACCACCTGATGATAGCAAGAACCAGGATTTCCTGCTAGGCCAAAAATGGGATTGCCCCTCCTGCCCGTGGCAAAGGGGTGGTACTGGAAACTAAACAGCCAAGTGGTATAAGAGCTCTGGGTCATGCCTGTGCACTTTGACATCTTGCCAGGCTATAATAAGAGAGACCTGCAGGGAGCAACAGATGTCAACGTTGGTAATTTTCCTTCCTGCTTCAGCTCCTCGAAACTGCCTCAACTGGATAAACGCCCACCCAGTTCCTTCTTTGGATAGTCATCCAAGCGTACACCACACAAACAGCTGCCAACTCCACTGGAAAATGTACAGACTGAAAGATCACCTGTGAATATGCAGCCTCCAAATGAGCTGTGCTGCACGTTGCCTTTGCAGCTAGTTTATATCCTTGACAACTGTACTGCTGCTTTTGCAGCAGGCAGCAGACAATTGCCACGCAAACTGTCCACACTTGAGACAGCAAGAGGATCAAGAAAGGCTTTACTTGCAGAACACCACACTTAGCAGAGCAAAGGACGTACGCACTCAGATGGACTAAGAAACCATCCTCATCCTGAACCTTCACCCATTTTTAGAGCCAGATTATGCTAACCTCCTGTCCCTCCCCCAAATACTTTCCTAATTCCCTCCACAACTAAAATTTGAAGCATCCACATTCACCTGGAAAGGGCATTCTTTGTTCATTTGCAACTGAGACTGGGCCAAATTCAGAGGGGCTGGACATAGTGATGTAAACTGGCTCCTTACACTAATTTTGCCAGACTCTTACACTCATTTACTCCTACTGTACTCTTTTGTAACTTTAAGCAACACACACACACCCTGCTTAGATCCTCCTTGATGCCCTTAATAGGTCTAAGGGCATCCAAGCACTGGGAGAGTATAAGCCTCTGGATCCAGCTGGCATCACATTACATTTTGCCTCTGGATTTGGCCTTACCAGCAGAATCACTAAAGTTGCACGAAGAAGCTTGTTCTCCTGAGATTTACCACCCTGTTTTGCACGCTTAAGCAGTCTGCAAAGCTTGGAAAGCATCCAGCTCTTTAGCTGCTTTTCCAAACTAAACCCAGACTCTTTTAAGGCTGCCACATCCTTAGTCAGGGCCCAGCTGACTTCAGACTCCATGTGAAGAAAACTTGACAACTCGCTCAGCCAGATCTTTTGCGTTCCCACAGTTGCCAAAGCAGATCCGGACTGCCTGCCCTCTGTCTTCTCTTTCACACCCCCTCAGCTCTCAGCCTTGCAGGCTTGCCTTAGCCTAATCACACATGCATCTGGCCTGTCTTACACTTTCTAAGCCCTCACATGAATATAGGATTTGCAGGCAGTTTATTCATGTGACATGAATTCCAGGGAAAACAGCAGCAGCAGTGTCATTATCGCATTATGAGTTTCACTGAATTGTCCACATAAATACACCAAGGCTTGCAGCAGTGTTAGGCACTGGAATGTTTTCAGAGCTGAGAGTAGATATTCCAGAAGCTTGTTTAATAAGAGGCAGAAGAGGCCACATACTCACACCAACTAGTTCAGCTGATTTATTTTTAAATGCCATTTCCATGCTTACATCCAAGGAACGGAGTTGAGACAAACTAATAGAGACATACTAGTAACAATAAGACGTGTAGTCCTCCATCCCTTTCCCTTATATGACTGTCTGCCTCTCAATTGTCTGTGTAAATGATTCAGAAAGCCCTGTTTAAACAGATCCAGTTCCTGCCATCTGTGAAGTGAGACATTATAGGGACTCTGTATTGTACTGCACGTAACAGAAATGCATTTGATTAACTGTACTCTGAACTACGCATTTCGCCCCTTGCTGTCGTTTACATAAGACAGAGTGATGCAGTAGGAATTCCACCCCCTCCCCCACCAGCTTTTGGGCAGAGTGATTCAGAGAAGTAGATTAGCTGCTCTACAGACCCTCATCCCCCAGCTATGAGTCAGAATCTCTGGGCTACAGAAGCATGCCTAAGATTCCAGACAGCCACTCTTCCAGAAACCTTCTTCTCCCTCCAAATCCCTGCTCCACTGGCATCATTGCTCATGGATGTGTTATACGGTCTGAGGATGAAGTGGAAGGGATGGAAATTGAGAATTCCTGAAGTCTGCAGTGAAACCCTGATGTCCGATCAAAGACTCCAATCACTTTGGCTAGGGACAGACATTACACGTAAACAGGTTTAACTGGCCAGAAACTGGTTTAAACCTGTAACAGAACAGATGTTCAGTGCACATCAACCAGTTTAAGAATGGCTGAAACCGGTTCAAGGTAAACCTGGCTGACTGTAGTATCAGACTTAACTGCTTTGGCTCAAACCGGTTTATGTAATGTCTTTCCCAGACCCCTTGCTAGTTTAAATTAAATCAGACTCCCCCATGCTCTCTAGGCTGGACTCTCTGCTGCACA